AACCTCCTCATTGCAAAATTCAAGCGGACGGAAACATGGCTATAGCTTTGGCTTCAGCTGGCATTGCTGCCACTCTTCTACAGGGCGGAACAACTGCTCATTTGGCTTTTAAGCTACACCTTAACCTCAGCCATACTGAATCTCCCTCTATGTGTAACATATCAAAGCAAAGCAACATGGCTGAAGTGCTCAGATATTGTAGGCTTATTGTCTGAGATGAATCCACTATGGCACACAGAGGGGGTGTTGAGGCTTTAGACAGGGCCCCCAAAGATATCCGTAACACCAAAAACTTAATGAGAGGGTTGACAGATCTGCTGACTGGAGACTTCCGGCAATCCCTACCAGTCGTGCCAAGAGGAACACGCGTTGACGAAGTTAAAGTATGTCTTAAATCTGCATATATTTTGCCTTAAATCATTGTTTCTTTGGCATTAAAACATGAGGGTTCATTTGAAAGGCGACAAAAAAGCTGCAGAGTTCTCTGCTCTTCTGAGTGTCGGTGATGGCAGCTTCAGTCCAGAAAATCGTAAAACTACTAGTCCTTCAAATCTCTGTCGCCTTGTGAATACCTTACCAGACTTGCTTAAACATGTTTACCCCAATCTACAAAATCTCCACGAAAAAGACGTGACTTGGTTAAGAGAGAGAGGGAGAGAGCTATCCTTACACCGAGAGATGAATTGATTACAACTAAAAAACCACATTTTACTTCAAGACCTACCTTCAGAAACTACAACATAACAGTCTGTGGATTACGTTGTGGACGTAGAAGACGCAGTGCACTATCCAGTAGAGTTTTTCGACTCGCTAAATCCTCCTGGCACTCCTCAACATAATCTAATTCTGAAAGTGGCGGCACCAATAATGTTACTGCAAAACTAACAGCCACCAAACTTTGTAACGGCACCCGACTTCAAATCACGTGTCTGCAAAAGAACCTAATCGAAACAAATATTTACAATCGCAGTGGCTCAGGGGAGACGGGTTTTATTCCTCGCATCCCTGTATACCCTCTGATCTTCCACTTCAATTCAAGCGCCTCTAATTTCCAGTAAGAATGTGTTTTGCAATGACAATAATAAGTCTTAAGGACAGAACCTACAAAAAGTTGGCCATGATTTGAGGCAGGATAGCTTTTCCCATGGCCAACTATACGTTGCATGCTCAAGAGTGTGCTCAGCGCATAAATTGGTCATACTACAACCGGAAGGCCGAAATGACAACGTAGTTTACAAAGAGATCCTTAACAAATAACTATTAATAACTTTTCGCTCAATTTATTGATAATTTCCTACCTTTTTTTCTTAAAAAAGCTCTCCGCTGCGAAGCTTTGGTTTTTTGCTAGAATACTAATAAAAAGCAAAGCCCTAACTCACTCATGACTATTTCTCCAACTTCTCGAGTAGATGGCAGCCTGAAATTTGCCATGCTTATGCCTTACAGATCACATACAAAAGTTAGGCAGGAGTCATTTTAAAATCTAAATTGTTTGGGACCGGGGGCCCAAATCTCATTTTTTCTAATATGATCTATATAAATAAAATGATCACCAAAACTGCTACATGAATAGATGGATCTTGACCAAACTTAATACACATACTCTTGATAAGCTATTTTCAAATACCGAAGGGTACTTAAAGCATAATATCCATACCTCTGGGGCCAGGGGTCCATTTCATTTTTTCTAATGTAAGTCCTATAAATATCAATATGCTTAGTACTCCGACATGAATTGATGGATCTTGACCAAACTTAGTACACATACTCTTGATTATCCATATTCAAATACCGAAGGGTACGTAACGAATAACATCCATTCCTCTGGGACCGGGGGCCCCGTTTCTTATTTTCTTATCTAAATTAATAAAAGTTAAAGCCCTCACTAACATCATCACTAATTCTCCAACTTCCCGAGCAGATAGCAGCCTGAATTTTGGCATGCTTATTCCATACAGCTCACTTACAAAAGTTAAGCATGTTTCTTTTCCAAACTTCATACGGTTTCGGGCCGAGGGACACAAATTTTCCATTTGTTTCCTATATGAGCTTTATAAATAAAATTATCAACATATGCAGCTACATCAATCGATGGATCTTGACCAAACTTAATACACATACTCTTGATGATCCATATTCAAGTACCGAAGGGTAGTGAATGCATAATATCCATCCCCCCTGGGACCGGGGGCCCATTTTATTTTTTCTCATTTGAGATATATAAATATCAATATGCTTAGTACTCCTACATAAATAGATGGACCTTGACCAAACTTAGTACCCATACTCTTGATTATTCATATTCAAATACCAAAGTATAATGATAAAATAATTTTCATCCCTCTTGGGCCGGGGGCCCCATTTCATTTTTTTTATTTGAAATATTTTCTCCAACTTTCCCCGAAGACAGAAGGTTGAAATTAGGCAGGCTTATTCCTTACAGCCTACTTACAAAATATAAGATGGTTTTTATTTAAAAACTCTACACAGAAAGGTTTACAACTGGGGGCTTCGATTTCGTTTTTTCCTAATCTATACTAAAAAAAAGGAAAAACCCTCACTCATTCATCACAAATTCTCATTCTTCTCGAGTAGATATAAGCTTGAAATTTGGCAGGCTTATTCCTTACGCCTTATTTACAAAATTCAGGCAGGTGTCATTTTAAAACTATAAATTGTTTTGGACCGGGGGCCAAAAATCTCATTTTTTCTAATATGAGCTTTATAAATAAATGATCAACAAATACTGCTACATGAATCGATGGATCTTGACCAATCTTAATAAACATACTCTTGATTATCCATATTCAAATACCGAAGGGTACGTAACACATAATATCCATCCCTCTGGGTCCGGGGGCACCGTTTCTTATTTTCTTATCTACAGTAATAAAAGGCAAAACTCTCACTGACTCATCACTAATTCTCCAGCTTCCCCTGTAGAAAGAAGCCTGAAATGTGGCAGGCTTATTCTTTACGGCTTTTTTACAAACGTTAAACAGGTTTCTTTTCGAAACTCTATTCCGTTTGGGGCCGGTGGCCCAAATTTCATTTTTTCTTTATTAGCTATATAAATAAAATGATCAACAAATACAACTACATGAATCGATGGATCTGTACCAAAGTTAATATACAAACATTTGATTATCCATATTCAAATACCGAAGGTTACTTAACACATAAAAAATAACCAACACTCTGGGGCCGATGCGCCTTTTCATTTTTCCTTATGTAAACTAAATAAATAGCAATAGGCTTAGTAGTCCTACATGAATAAATGGATCGTGACCAAATTTAGTACACACAATCTTGATTATAGCATTCTCAAATACTTAAGGGTACTTAACTCGTAATATCCATACCCCTGATATATAGATATCAATGGGGTTAGACAACACCATAGGTTCTATGTGATTTGGTGGATCTAGACCTTGCTTTGTAGCAATACCCTTCTTAGTCCGTTTTAAAATATCGTTTAATTGAATATCCAATCCATTCAAGGCCGATCTAGAATTTTCTAGAAACTTCGATAGTTTAAATAAGCTATGCGATGGCATTTGTAAACCACTTTTAATAGGACACATTTTAAATAATAATTTATCTCAATGATTTTTATAAGCCACCCATCTCAGACATAAACAAAACGATACTTTATTAAATGGGCCCCCAACGGGGCCCCGGTATCAATTTAAATGAATTATAGTTAGTAGCACAATTTAGTTGTATACTATTCCGCTTTCGAGAAATAATTAAGTAGAAATGTAATGTTTACACGTTTCATGGAGGATTTTAAATTTAATCTAGAATGTTCTATATTGTTCTACGGGGATATATAATTAGATCTAAAAGCTTATTCAAACAAAATCACAGTGAGCATGGTTCCATAGAGAAACAGGATCCTAATGGGACACATCGGTTACGCGTTTCCATCGGGGAACAGGATACCATCGAGATCCCATCGGGTAACGGACGCAAACCGGGATCAGGATCCTGTCAGGAAAACGGATAACATCGGAAAAGAGAGTCCATAGGTGGAACGGGATCCCCCAATGAACTGTATCCTAACGGGATCGGAGGATCGGGATCCACTGAGATCAGGATCTCAATGAGATCGAGACACCGACGGGATCGGATCCAACGGGATCGGATCCAACGGGATTTGGATTTCCCCTGGATCCGGAGCCACAAAGAAATAGGATTCCATCGAGAACGGGATAAAACCGGGAAAAGGGATTCAGAATGGATTAGGGACTCATTAGAATTGGGGCCTTACCAAGATCGGGGTCCCAAGGAAAGACCATACAAAAAGTTGGTATTGATTTGAGGCAGGTTTGATTTTCGCAAGGGAATGCATTGTATAGTATCCGTAATATGCGAATACTTGATAAATTCGTACCATTTTTTTTTCTTTAAAAAAGGCTGTCCACTGCAAAGCGCGGGTAATTTACTAGTATATATATATATATATATATATATATATATTATTTTTCATATTTAAACCATAATCATTTACAAAAATATTTTAGGGACTTTTTTTTTCAAAACTTTTATTTAATTTTGTTTTAATATATAGTTTGCAAAGCGTTGAATTTTTTAAATTTTTAATTGGTATTGTTCAATGCCCAATTTAAAAATATATGATACAAGTTAAAGCTTTTAACTGATTTAGGTATTAAATGAAATAAAATTAAGAAGTCAAACCATTTCAATAATTATAAAAAAAAATATAAAGAAAGTTAAAAATATAAATATATAATAAAAAAGAATAAAAATGCATGTTTTTTTTTATTGGAACTACAGCTTAGTTACAATTATTACCAATTAGAAAATTGTACTTATACAAAATTTAATTTTTTTTTATGAAATTTGGAGAAAATAAGATAAAATGTTAATTTGACATGAGACCCCGAGCATATTGTCAGGTGACTCCAGTGGGGTCGTGACCCTTATTTTGAGAAATACTAAATAAAAGTAACTAAAAGCTTTAAAAACTTACAGACACACTGTCCTTGGGTGTTTTTTACAAGCCCCAAATAACAATTACATTCATAACCAGGTTGGAGATTTCTACACTCCGAGTAGTTGGGACAGGCAAGTGGATCCACGAGACATTCATTTTTGTCTACTGTACAATCAGACGATGTCCAGTGTGGTTTACATACGCACTCTCCAGTGATGCTGTCACAGTGATCTGTGTTATTCTTGAAACAGGTGCATGGTGTTGAACAATTAACCCCATAAAAGTCATCTTGGCATTCTATAACATATTAAAATGAAATTCAAAGTTTTTTTTTAAATTTTTGTTAGTCTTTATATTCTTTTCAAAACATGAATGTTAAATTTCAAAAGTAAAAATGGTAAGCAAATTGTTGTCAGAAATGTAACTCGAAGAAATGTGTGTTTGAGTGTTAGGGGCAAGTTTAATTAAGAACTTTAAAAAACTAGGTTAAACGTTACATGCTCTGTGTATGAGACGAATCTAAGTTGATCGGAAACGAGAGAGAGGGAAGAGAGAGAGGGTGGGTAACAGAGACAGAGAGAGAGAGAAAAAAAGAAAGAGAGAGAGAGAGAGAGAGAGAGAGATGGAAAGAGAGAGAGAGAGAAGTAGGTAAAGAATGAAAGAGAAACAATTTATTTTAGATATAAGACGCGGCTTTGGTAAAAAAAAAAGTATGCTTGAAATGTTAACATATGGCAATAACGATTAATATACATAGCGAAAAGGGTTACTAGTCAATTGAAAATTAGCAGCAAAGAAGAAGCAAATTTGCTGGCTTAAAAACTGGGAGTCCCTGCCATAAGAATTCATACAAGTCACATTCATTCGTATTAAGAATTGGATGTTGGGTCATATGATGACAAAATGGTACTTGTGAGAGACGGGCAGCACGAAGGCCCGCGGTGTGCACGCTAAAATTTCACAATTTATAATATCCGAAGAAAAAAAAATTGACGAAAATAAAACTTTAAAACGCAAGCAGATGGTCTCAGTAAAATGGAGTTGTCAGGACAATTTTTCAATTAATTCCTACTTTTACACAATTGGGAACTGTACTAATTACAAAAACAGTGAAACTCCTATGGAGTTCGTGTACCAAACTTGAACTTGTGGAGGCGAGGGTAGAAAGCTGGTCATAAATTGCAAAACCGGTGATGCTAGTTGCAAGTGTATTAGACGGGTAATAAAGAGTGATTAAGCTCGCATTCAACCTCTCCACGGAGAGAATAAGTTGGTTGTCGATGTGTGTTGTATTTTTGTACACAATATTATAAAAATATAGCTCAAAGAGTAAGGGGAAAACCTAAAATTTCGCAACCCCCCCCCCAACAAAAATGGCCGCCATAACATGCAAACGCTGTCTCCTAACCCCTTAATGATTAATCGCTGTGCATTTCCTTTCCCTCCTTCTTATAGTATGTCATATGCACCCGCTTGTAACATATCTACACAAGATACCCTATCCTTATTATCCTTTTACTACGTGCGCAGACCTCAATATTTACTGGTAATTTTGTACTTTTCAGTAAGTTAATGATTACATTATCTAATAATCACATATCCTAGATTTTCAGATTTCATCGGACCATTCCTTCGCCGTATCAAAACTTATTTAACTCCTTTCGAATTCAATCTTACTGTCTCATAAAAAGTTATCATTGGAAGTTTTGTATACATTACTACAATATCTCTCTCTTGCTTTGCTGTTCAAGGCTTTCAGCTGAAACAACTATTTTTTTTCTTTATGAATTTTCCATAAGCTGTAAGTTATAATTCATATTGCTATCAGTCTAAACACAGTCCTTTTACATATTATAAACACCCATGTCTGTTATGAGTGTAAAATCGTCTGCTATAAGGAGATGGGAAGCGCTTAAGGTATAACGCCAAAGATTTTTCTCATGCCACTTTAGAAGTTTTGCATGTATTTCTTTTCAGCAACTGGACCGTGCTGCCGATGCTCCTCATTGCAGCTGTCTTTGCTGTTGACATGGAGGTCCTTGTCCGCTCAACAATTTAGCTCAAGTAGCATTTTGATTTCTAAGTAGTTTTAATCAAACAAATCACCGTGTTTTCTGGTAGAGGGTCCACGGCCGTAAGCGGCTGTGCTATACACCATCTCATGAAGTGTGGTCCTGTTTGTCGAATGTGATAAAATCAAGGCGTGCATTATAGGTGTCAACTAATATTTGTCTCACATGAGGAATTTTCAGCTTATTGATGTTGAGGCAATGTAGAGCTTTATTAGCCTGAGGTCGTCTTTAAGGTTGGATGTGCATTTGAAACGATAAGGCAGTGCTCCGTCAACATTCTGCGTCGCACATGGCCATAATCACCCCCACCTTCTGCTGGTCCTATTTCTGACGATGACATAATCCATTAGGTGCAAGTGTTTTAAACCGGGGTGCATCAAGGAGGTCATTTTTCAGGTAGGGAGGCTAATGGTGGTGTTTGTTATTAGAATTCCGTGTTCGTCCCATGTCTGAAGTAGCAGTAGGCCATTTCTGTTGCATCTTCCTACCCCATACTTCCCCATGACTTCCTGCATGAGGTGTAGTCACTGCCGACACGTGTATTGCAATCTAAAAAAAAAGATGAGTTTGTCAGCAGTCTGTGTCGAGGAGATGACAGTGTTCAGTCCTTCACAAAACTAATCTATGGTCTCTTATGTATTTGTCATGGAAAGAGTATAGGCACTGAGTCATTTGGCAGCCTTCTTTCCATGGCAGAGGTGAGTTTAATAGTCATTAGACGATTATTGATACCTTTTGTAGAGCTGGCTTGCTTCAAGAGAGGTTTTGATAGCGAAAGTAACTCCTGCTTCTCGCCTTGCTTCAGAATCTATTCCGCTCCAGAAGAAATAATAGCCAAGAAACAATTTCTGTGAGTTCATTTTTGCCAGGGATTCTGGTTTTACTGAGCTTGGCAATGTCAATGTTGTCTCTGGCAAGTTCATTGGAAATGAGCAACGTGCGTCGGTAAGGCAGCGTTCCTGTCAAGTAGGGTGAAGATGTTCCATGTGGCAATTTTAATTGAAATAGAGTTTATCTTTGTTGTTCGAAAGCAAAATTGGGTCCCCGCCGACTGCGGTTAGCCAGACTGGCAATGTTTAGGGCACCTATACTAGCCCTGTTCTTATGCACTTAGTTGAACAGTGTTATCCTGAATAAGGCTACTCAGACACCTAGGTGGCTTGTGAACTTCACTTCTGCTCCAATCAGTGAAGAGCGACGCTTTAGCCTCAGTCGCCTGTGTGCAGGGTTACATTTACCACTCCCAGTGCGCTACACTTGTTGCTTGGTCCCTTACACGTCGCTACAAGACTTGGATGATGGGTCTTGGATGACTGATGACTTGCACGAATGACTTCGTTAATAATCAGGAAGAGTTGTGCAGGTTTAATCGCATGATATCGTCCTGACTCACCATGTCCTGTGGCAATACTAAGACATGACGATTGGAGATTGGTACGGATGCAGTGGATGACCAAGAGGTTATACGTGCCTCATCTAGCTCTGCACACTCTACTGTTAATAGCTGTAATTGCCTTCACCTCCGATGAAGCTAAATGATCTCCTTGACAAAATCCGTTGACGTCAAGGCATCACAAGCAGTAGGTAGGCCTAATGAATTTACTGAGGGTTTGAGGTAAATCAGCTAACCTCACCTTGTTTCGTCGGCTAGTGGAAGCCGTTGCTCAGTTTAAAGCTGCTATTGCATGCTAACAGCTACAGGGGCCCAAGATAATAGTAAGTGACAGGATATAACCAAGGCGGACAAACTGCCCCTAGGAGCACGTCGTATTCCCCCATCAGGGGTACTACCTCTTCCTGTACACCCAATTATAGAAAGGGAAGATACGTTTCCGAAGACATACATTTTGATCCCGGCCAATGAGTTATTTACCTTTCAAGAAATGGCAGTAATATTTGAATCTGAGCGCCAAGCGTGGAATTGACAGTAGTTTGCAGGCGCAATGTGGTTGCGGTACCTTAGCAAGCATATTAAATTTGGCCAATGCACCAATGCCTAGTCATGTTGTTAAATTTTAGGCTAAGTAATAGCCTTGACCCAACCTTCCTAATGCCGCGACCCTTTAATACAGTTCCTCATGTTGTGGTGACCCGTTTATATCTGTAGAGTGTATGATTCTTCAGATGGTCTTAGATTACCCCTGGGAAAGGGTCGTTTGACCCCCAAAAGTGTCGCAACCTAATGGTTGAGAAACGTTGGCTTGATTTGAGCTGGATTTTGTTTAAAGCGAGAGAGACGTGCTATATTCGTCAGCCTCACTCTCCATTCCTTGCCTATTTGAACCAGCAGCAAGACTGAGTCAAGGCAACTGGAAATAACGTCATTATGCGTACGGTTCTCTATTTCCAGAGTTTGACTTTTCTTTAGAGACAAGCCATCCAAGGTTAAAGAGACCATCCACCCGGGATGTTTATGATGTGTTAGCGTGTTTGGGGATTGACTAAGTTTAGACTGCTCGGCACACTAGCATCCAAATGTGTAAATATTAACCTAATATTCTAGAGTTCAAACCCTTGCACTCCTTCAAAAGATAAGTGAACATTTTTTTAAAAAATGTTTAAAATGAAACGTGGCAAAGAGTTTCAATCGACTATTTATTTGTGTAAAATTGTATTATAGTTAAATACGTTGTTTTCTTCCAATATGTTAATAATTTGAGCATCCAGAAATTTAAACAAGTAAAAAAATAATATGAGCAACCAATATTTTTTCTCTCTTCATATGTCTCCTTTTAAGAGAAATCTGAATAATAAAGATATTACTCAAATTTATTTATTTAATTTGTTTTATTTTTATTTTATTTTTTTTAAACTTTTTTTTTAAATAGTACTTACTATGTGATGTATAAGAGACCTTGAAACCAGATGAATAACTTCTACCAGTATATTGTACAATATGAATGGTACTGCCAGGCGATCTAATGAGGTCAGGTAAACGACCATTATGGTAGTTAAATCCATCAATATGCCTCAGAAGTGGGGCTGATATGTTGGCACCGTCATATACGTTTATATAACCATTTGAACCAACGTGATAAAGGTCAAATGATGTGAAGCTGTTGTTAATCAGAATAAATTATATAATGTATAACATATATGCATAGGTGAAATTATATATATATATATATATATATATATATATATATATATATATATGTATATATATATATATGTAATAAATGGTGAGAGAGGGTAATATATAAGATATATATATATATATATATAT